TTAGTTTCTGCTGTGATGGATGCTTTCTCTTTTAGGAGAACTGTGGTGTTGTCTGTGAAAAGGGCCAGTTCCCCTTTTGGTTGTGCAGTGGCTGGTGTGATACTTGTGTGTGATGGACTGGTGTTTAACACTTTGCTTCTGTAATGAGAGACAGATCTGAGGATGGTCTTGAACACAGTTGCAGAGAAAGCACAGATATCAAAGTTTAATGGGAACCCAGGTTTCCTGATGGTAACTTGTTGTGCTAACAGCAGATTCATTTGTTTCCTAATTAATCAGAAGGAGTGTTCTTTTTATTTCAGCCATCTGGTGGAGAGCATGTTGTTTAGCTTCTTGCTACTGCAAATTGGAGCTACACAGGAAAAAGGATGTTTCAACTTCTGTTTTTGGCTTGTTTTTCAAGGTTGAGTCAGTATAGTGCACGTTAAAACATACTGTAATCAGTTGCAAAGTTCATTTCTCAAGGACTGCAAAAATTTAACTAAAATTGTCCTTCCTGAAAAGACAGGGTGGTGATATTGATGATTAATTGCCTTTATTACTTGTTTTATTCCACACAATCAGTTGTTCAGACAAAAGCAAAATTTCCTTAGTGAGCTGCAGGACTATTCTAGGATACCCAATTTGTTACTATTTCATAGAGAACATTGAATGTCGCTTTTACATTTCTTCTTTGGATTAATGTCAAAAGCATATTGCCTGTCAAACAATTTGTCGTTGAGTGTGCCATTAGCTTACTAACTCCTCACAAGGATTTTAAAACATTGCATTTTTTTTCCCTCCAGAAGTCCCCTTAGCGCAGCCTTTCTTTGGAAGCTATATTGTTCTTGTGGAATATTTTCTGAGGAGCAGTCTGTCCCTATGTGATGTTTACTGTATTTTTGCCTTGCAGCCAGCAGATTTTAGTACAAACTTGCCTGGGGGTGGCCTTGTCCTATTTTCCTCTTAGATGGTTCTGGCATTTATAGAGCTTGGGAGATCGTGCTTCTGAATTTTCCAGTCTGAAGAGCCCGAGCCAAAACAGCAGGGGAGATAGCAAACCTGTACGTTGTTTGGCTCACGGCAGCTGGGCCTGTTTTTCCTTTGACCTGAAGCAATGGCAGCTTTTCTTGGGTTTTGTGTGGAGGAGGGGGAAGTGAGGAAGAGGAAAGCTATGTGAGTAAAACTGCTTTATCTCTGTGATTGGAAAAAGCAAGGCTTACCTCTGCCTCAACAATCCCTCTTTTGGCACCCCTAGCAAAGGTAACTCTGAACTGCTTTCACATGGCACGTGGAGATTGTCTTTCTTCAAGTTAGTTTATGAGTATTGATTATTCATAAGAAAAGAGAATGTGTATTTTAATATTGCATTAACATTTTTGAAAAACAAACTCTTTTTATGTTGCAGTACCATAGCCCTTGCAGAATGGACTTTATGTTAGAGGACTGGCTGCTTGGCAGTTTTTAGAGACATTTCATAGCTTCCCATCAACCTGCATTTTCTCCATTACTTCGTGGTCACTGAAATAAAATAGTCTTGCCAGAGTCTCCACTGGGGAGCAAATTGTGATGAATGATTGTGGGAATGTATGAAATACCCTGCAGATGGGTGGCTCAGAGGACATAACTACTCTTTGGGTTTGGCCTTGTGCTTGAAGAGCCCTTCTTGTCTTTAAACACTCTCTGAAGTCATACCCGCTAAATGAGATTTCCTGTGGAAATAAATTTCAATGTTGCTGCCTTTGAGGTGTTGCAGTTTTGTGTTTATCAGTAGATGTTTCAGTTAAGTTTTGCATTTACATAACAGAAACATTTAGTTGTGCCACAAGAGTGAATTTATTTCTAGAAGAATGGATTTGCATGTGGTTATTGGAATCCTGAACTTTTGAATTTCGGGAGACTTGAGAGTTCCCTAAAAAGTTTGTGAGAACAACGGAGAGATGAGGCTTAGTACATACTTGAAGTGGAACACAAAAGAAATCAGCCTGCATGTGCCAAGAATTTCCAAGGAACTTCTAGTGATTAAACCAAATTAAAAAAACATCATATTTCCAAGGAGTGATAAGATTCCTGTTTTGATGTCTGCATTGGTGTGGGACAAATGGGTGATGGATCCTGAGCCTCCCCAAACCGAAAATAAAGGGGAAGAAAAATTTTAATCTTTGTCCAGGTTTCAGTGTTTTCTCCCTTTATGTTGCTCCATAGTTTTTCCTTACTGATATGTGTGGATCTCCACAATACTTGTTGAGAAGCTCAAGAGAAACTCTTGTTTCTGCTGTAGTTCTGGCAAGAGATGACAGTGCAGAAGCTGCATGGCTGCTCTTCCTGTGAGGAAGCTGTTGACTGGCTTCACAGTGCAAATTTTTTCCAGAATAAGAATTTTCTTAATTGGCAGCTTTGATGAATTTCCCTCCTCCCCTCTTGTCCCCATTTGCAACTTTCTGAGTTGGTCAGTCTTATGTGCAAATCATGTTTCATCCTGAAGGGAAGATTATTGGGACCTGTAGGTGGATGCAAGGAGGACATTAGGGCAGGTGCATGTTACCCTAAAGGTTTCTTGTTGGAATAAGAAGAGTTAGCAGAAAGTTGGTGCTGTAGAACCAGCCTCTCCAGTCTCTCTTGGCTCAACAGTGTGAATGCCTCAGGCTGTTGGAGTGGGCCAGGAAGGAGCTGAGCCTTTCAGAAAATATGCTGGCTTCAATATCATTAGGTGTGTTATGTAGGCAAGTAGTCCAGATTTGCCTAGCTGGTCTATATTTATTTTCCTCTCTTCTTTCCATTCAGCAAGTCCATGTTGCAGTAGGAGGCTCTCTTTCCTTGGTAGTCTAATTTGTTACCAACATCCTCACCTTTGCAAGTTTCACTCTTTGTGCATAAGGAAGCAGTTTGAATTAGATACATTAAAAAAAAATCATAATCCATTCTAAGGTGATAATTTACCTAATTTTCCTTTAATAATAACCTTTTTTCAGTAGTGGTTTTCTTTGTTTAACATGAACATTTTCTGCTTTTTGATGTGTTTTTTCTACAAATCTTAGTGGGCTGTAGTGAATCCTTGTTTCAAGTATTCCCTCTTTTTCAATGATTGTCCAAATTCTGAAGGCAAAACACAAAGGTCAGTGTTCTCTCTTGGATTGCTCCTCATCTCACTTTTGTCACTAAATGTAATAATTTCTATAATTTGTATTCTCATATTTAATATTTCTCCTGTTGCCCTTAGGAGTAGATTTCCTTTCCATGTTAATCTTACTCAGGGAGGCTGGATTAACGATTTACTAATTTCTTTCTTCTTTTAATGTTCTCAAGAATGTCCTCCTTAATATTAGGTAACAGATCTGGTGGATTTTTTGCTGGTATTAATTGCTGTGTGAGGAAGTGCCCTTGAAAGTCAGTTATGTAAATGAGCAGCCTTGAGCTGGCCATAAGAATGATGTTGGCTTGAGTTTTAATTTAATAATTGAGGAATTGGAACATAAAATGGTTCTTTAAATCTAAAATAGGATAGAGTAATATTCTTTATTAGACAAATTCTAATTGCATGGACTGTATCAGCAGTTTAACGTTTAGTTTCGGTGATCACTTTGCATGCAGGTGAGCACTTTAGATGGTCATTGTTGGATGGTTGCAATTAGGAAAAATTCTTGTATTCAGTTGCCTTAGGTATTTTTAGTTGAGTCTTCTGAAAGAAATAACTGGTTGTTGTGGCTTTAAAAAAACAGATTGAGTCTTTCTTGAAATATATTCTTATCATCTGCTTTTTTTTTTCCTTTATTAAGTTAGCGATCGTAAAAGTCGCTGTAAAAGTTTCTTGTATTTTTCCTGCAGATGTGTCATACTTGAATCCTTTGGCTTATTAAAAAGTCCCTGAGTTCTGGACAGTGGAGGGCACATACCTCATGTCTGTTTGAGTAAAGGTCATAATTTATTGTTATGCACAATATATGCAAAAACCAGTGGATGTGAAGTTATTTGCAAATACAGGCTTGGCAAACCTCCTCTGGAATTCGGAAAGGGTTTTCCAGCTCGACTTAGTCATTTTTTCCCAAATGTCTTGGCATAACTGATCACTCAGGAGTGACATATGGTAGAAACATGCTCTAAGGGACAAGTCTCCCGGATGGCGCACAGCACCACACAAGATAGACAGATGGTGGCTTATTCAACCTTGGAAAAAGTTTAATCCTACATATTGGCACGTCGGCCTGGGTACTGAGAGAGAGGCACACACATGCCTGTGAAATCTGAGGCAAAGCTTTTGTGAGTTTGCTTGCTGTCACTGAAAGAACTGGAAAGACTGAGCTGATACTATACCCGAGTATCTGCAAAATTATGGGCTCAATGTGCTCTCCAGAAAAAGTGATGTTCCTTAGGAAAGTGGAAACTCCAGAGGCAGCAGGACAATGCAGAGAATAAAATTTGGTGAACTTCTCACAGCTGTTTCCAGACTAAAACATGCTTATTCAACAAAGCTGCTGAGTACTTAATTTATTCCCCAATAGCTGTTGATTAATTGAAGTGTCTAATAAGAGAAAAGGATATTTTATGTTTTTCATAGCTTTAGTTCTGTTTCAAGAGTTGCTACTGGCTTTATGACTTGTGTTAGCACTACACATCAGAGAAACTGTAGCCTTTCTCTTCTATAGGTTCTAAAACAAAGTTATAAATTCCCTGATGGTAATTTTAAATTTACAGCAGAATATGCAAAGAATTGCAAGTTGTTTTGTTGGGGTTTTTTTTGGGTTTTTTTTTTGGTTTTTTTTAAATACGGAGAGGAAATCACACCTTTCACTCTAATATCTTCATGTTTAAGACAGTGAAGAGAGAGAGACAGAATATTTAACATAGAAAAATAAATCTGCTTTGGCTTCTTTCTGGAAACCAAGTAGTGATTGTATGATTGATTGATTGATTGAACTTCTGGAGTCAAGGCCATTATCTGTAAGGATTTTGAAAACACTGACCCATTGAAAAGATAAAGAATTGTCTACCAAACCTTTTCCCCCACTTTCTTTTTCTTGTAGATCACACTCAGTATTCACAACTAGAAGCAAGACTCTGCTGACTCTCTGGACTTCAAGGATATCGTTATGTTGTATTGGATGAGGTTAAACTAGACAAGACTTCTTTCTTAAACACTTCAAGAAAGGTAAATGTAATTCAAACAAACGAATCTTTTTCCAGTAAAGGAATTGTTAGGTCAAATTAATCCCATTCTAGTAACATTTCAACCATACTACACCATAGAATCATCATCTTTTGGATACTTTGTGTAGTTACATACCCATATATATATTTCTATAGCTAAACCTTCCTGGTAATTTTAGACGTTAAGATTTTGATTTGTCAGCCCTTGTATATTTTGTGGAAATGTACTGGTTTCAAGCAATTTCTAACATGAAAGAGGTGGCAAAGGAAGAGGAAAGAGAAGAGAGATGCCTGCAGTAGCCAGCCTGTTTGTAATTACTTGTATGGATGGGGAAGGCCCACTTAATGTTTCTGTTCTGCCTAATGAGTAAAGTTACTTGAAAATGAGATCCTAGCTAGTGAACTATATAGTCAAATGACTGAAGCAGTACTGATTGACACATACATTTAAATTATGGTGTGGTTTGGGAGACCCAGAGGGAGCTGCAAAGAGAGAGACTAATTCAATAACCTGTTGTTTAGGATATGCATTGAAGAAGTAAGAGTTGTCAAATCCTTACATTCAGCTGAGGATGCTCTTGTGTAATACAAATATCTGCTAACTTTTGGCCTAGTATAAGCAAAGATTTGTTCTTCCTGTGGATATGAGTACCCATCAGGTATTTCTTTTCATCACCCTTTTCTTTCTTTTGCTGTGTGTCATTGTGAGAAATGCTGACCATAGGCAGCCAAGCCTGAAGGACCACAGAAATTGTTGCAGAACTACTGAGCCCTTTTTACTTTATCTTTTTCTATCTACTATAACTAATTACTATAGGTCTTAGTAAATAAAAATTTTAATAAGTCTATTTGTTGCCCAAGTGCAGTCAGAAAAATGTGACAGACATCAGTTTACTTTCTGTCTAGACCCTGCAAGAGTTTCTCACACATTTCACAGAAGCAGTGAGTATTTTGTGGCCCATCCAGCCCTCTGTGACAGTCCTGCCTCAGTGTCAGGAAGCATGCCTGTGGGCCTTACAAACATCATGTATTTGTGAGAGACAGAGCTACAGTCTGATGAGATGATTAAAATTCTGCAGATCCACAGCTGACACCTTTTTGACCCAGATCTGAAGTTCAGACTTGGAAATACTTCAGTCCCTTGGAATTTTAGGTCATGCTTCATAGAATTGCTGTTTTCATAATTTATAGGCTAAGCGCGATGGTATCATTGTTGAGTCGCTGAGCGAATTTGTGTGTGTGAAGCAGCCATCTGCTGTCAGGGCTGAGTCTTGTATCTCCCTGGCCACTGACAGGGGAGGTCATTATACCATGTCACATGGGAATGGTTTAAGGTAACAACATGGCTGTGTCCAAAACAAGTCACTTCTGCTTACTGGTAGTAATGACATTTGGAGGACTGAGGCGGAGGACGGGGAGTTTTAATAGAGGAATGGAGACTTTGTGAAGACAGAGATGTGAAGGGTTTGCATGTTTGAGAGGAACAAAGGCTGGCTTTTGTTAGCAGGGTTTTGAGTTATTTATGGAACCAGATGAGGAATAGAGAAACTGTCTGCACAGGAAAAAAGCAGACTTCAAGATCTGGAAGAGAAGCTGCATCGAGTTGTTAGGCCACTGACCTAAGAGCAGTAAGGAAGCAGATACAAATGCATGTGGTCTCATTTTATTTTGTCTAGACTTGCATACCTTGTACACTTCCCAAGTGGAGAGTGATTCGGTATTTTGGAACTCGTACAAAGCTTCTGCATGTTTTGCTTCATCCAGAGAATGTCCTGGAAACCCAGCATACCCTCAAGGTTAGATCCTTGTGTTAAACTTGCTGTAACATTTGGGCAGGATGTGGGTTAGCACTAATGATGGGATCCTGTGCCATCTTGCTCTGCCAGGTCCTGTTTCTTTGGAGATGCAGTAATCAATACCAAAGAAAAGTAATGCAGAAACTAAGAAAATTATTTAGCAGGAAATAACTGATTCAAACCATTGGAGATCAAAGATGGTTGAGAAAAGCCAGACACAACTGTATGTGCAGCAGTGGGGATTTTACCATACTGGTTCCTGCAAATTGCTGCCAGGCTGTTGAGAGCTGAAGGTAAAGTTGAGCTGAAACATTAAAAATTAGGACTAAGACATCTTGCAGCACACCTCATGGAATACATTTAGGCTTTATTAGCTGCAGCTGATTCAAAAATGTACTCTCAACAGGTGTAGCCAAACAGGAGGAAGAAACAATTTAAAAATCCTCATTTATGCATTAATCCAGTGGTAAGAAAATGTGAAGTTGTAATTGTCTTCTATACTTCGCTCCTCCTTGTTGGGAGAATTTTTTTTAGATCTTCATTTCTAATTTAGTACTTAGTCTCCTTTTTCCTCCCCCTCCAAAAATCTCCTCACACCCTGATGGTTTAAAAATGATGCCATGCAGAATTGATGTAACTATGTGTAGGTTGTGATGTGCATTGGAGGTGTGATGTACCTCTCTTAAAATCTTAAAAGCAGGTAAAGCTGAAAATGGCTACATTCACTTTTATGCTGTCTATCCCTTTTGTTCTCTCTCCCTCCCCCTTCTGCTTGTGCTCACTTGCTCTCTCTTTAGTATAACACAGTTGAACAGCAGTGAAGTGTAAAATGTGCTTTTGCCAAGGTCAGTTTCTTGTGATTACTCGCCTGTGGCAACTTATGCCAGTTGCAACAGACTGAGTCTCAGCAGTCCACAAAGTCACACTGGTGCTTATGCAGAGGACACCCAGTGTAGGTTACAGTAACCAGAGTCTGGAATGGCTCACAATGCTGCTGAATTTTAGCTGCTTTATTTAACTCTTCCGATCTGGCTTGTGCTTGCTTCAGTGCTTTGGAGTCTGTGCCATGAAACACTGGGTTGTCCTGGTTCTCTGGAGACCCTTGAGGAGCATTTTGGGTAGATGAAATTCTTGTTGTTAGGGGTTGTTTCTTTTCTTATAGTGGATGGCTCAAATTTCAGAATTTCTCCTAAATGAAGAGAAGATAAAGCATCAGGACGCATGCATCTTCTACATTTTACCCATATTTTTTGGTATTGGCTTGCTTTTGGGTAAATTTGTATCAAATACTGCCCCGTTGACATTGACACAAGAGAAACTGTTTATCTGCATAGCAAGAAATACTATGGAAATTTTTAAGAGCTAGTTTTAAGCAAGAATTTAAAAGATGAGGAGACAATCTTAAATGTTGTGCATGCTCATAAGCATAGAATAATTTTTTTTAGAAGATAAAAATAATTTTCACTCCTGAGATAGGAGAATGAATGTGAGATTCCAGAACATTCACTTTAATAGATAAGATTTGTTGGATCCCATTTTGTTGTATACACTGGATTAGCTACCACCATGTGGAAATAAAGTTAAGGGACCTTTACTTTCATTCTCCTTCTCACATATGAGCAAACATATCCCTTCATGGAAAAATGTTGTATATAGAACAGAAAAGCTTGCACTTCCTGTATTGTTTATTTGTACTATCAGCAATATACAGGATTTTGTTTTCCTTCTGGAGATATTTACTTTTTGGAAGAAGTATTTATCTCCTGAGCTGTGTGATAGTGACTTTGGGGTTGCTTGTCTGTCAGTACTGACTAGTAGTGAGGCAGTAAATAATCTTGATGATCAACTGAAGGGCTAGACCTGAACTTTGGCAACCTGGATGAAGTTCAGAATTTCATAGCTTAAAATTTTTTATGCATTTGGTTAATTTTGAAAATATATTTTGCTATATTCACTCTCATGTTTGCTTTGGAATGATTCCTGAGCCACAAGTAAAATAATGGCTCAGCAATTCAGTCTTGTCCTGTAAACACCCTTGCATAAAGCACACAGGAATATTCTTGTTGTGCTCAGTGAAACTCCCCACAAAACAAGGTGAAGTGCTTAATCCTGTATTTTCAGCTTAGTTTTGCTTTCAGGCTTAGAAGGAGTGGTTTTCATCAAGGAATGTGTTGTTGCTTTTTTGCCTACACGGAGGACAGTTAAATTAGTGTTTTGTTTCAAGACTGACATCTGCTTGTATGGCTTCATAATTTATATAATTCCATGGGTAATCCAGCCCCTTCCCTTTGCTTTTAATAACATTTGTATTGGCCCAGCTCTTATGGAAGAATATGCTTTAAGAGCTGTGTTCAAGACTTTGTGAAGATTGATCTGTCTACTCCCCTTTAAGCTGGAAATTCACGGTAGAAATGAGCAGTGTTTTTTGTGTGTGTGTGATGGGGTACAGAGGCCTGTAGTACTTGCAGTGATTAGTGTTGTCTTCTAATTGTTAGAGCAACAGTGGAAATTAGTGTTCCCCGTAGGAGGAAATGGCTGTAACTAGAAGAAGCTGGTCTTCAGTCAGCTGAAAAATGAGCAAGTGGGTGTTCTTGGGTGAGGTAATACCCACCCAAAAAGTGCCATTGTCTGTGCTTACCAGAACCTGCCACATTAATTTCCTTCTATCTTAAGGAACTTGTGGATAGGAAAGAACTCTTCAGGCACCAAAGTTTTTTTTGGAACATTTCCAATGACGTAGGTCCCTGCAGTGGGCTGCTGCTGCATGCTCCGAGGATTTCCTCATCAGTATGTTCAGCACGAGCAGGCAGTTGACAATTGAGATGGAAGGAATCTTCACAAACCCCTGAACCCATTCAAATCTCCTTGCTGAGCTCCTAACTGATTTTTAAAAATTCATTAGAACTTCACTATTTCTCACATTCTCACCTCCTGGATTCTGGGTGATAACAGAAATGCATTGCTGCACACATTGAGGGTACATGTTGGGGGTGGGGGTTTGGACAAGTGACATTCTGAATTCCTTGAGATCTTGAAAGATTTGCAACCTAATTTTTCTTTTAACTCATGAGTAGAGATTTGAAAGCTTGTTAAGGGATTTGTTCATACGCTTCCTACTAGTTTTAAAGGGAGTTCTTCAAGTCAGTGTCCTTGTAAGTTTAAAAACATTTACTGAGCTAAGACAGATGTGCTGGAAATAAACATT